CTCTCTCTCTCTCTCTCTCTCTCTCTCTCTCTCTCTCTCTCTCTCTCTCTCTCTCTCTCTTTCTCGACGAAACGAATCTAAAGCTACCAGCGATCGCGTGTATTTACCACAAAGGTGCAAAATACAAGTCGCGAGCGCAATCCAAGCTTCCACGTCGGCTTCAATCGCTCGATAAACCCGGACAACTCTAGAACCGTCGCGTAGCCGAGATTAGTTGGTTATCGACCGTCTCTCAAGCTTGTGCTTGAGAAAGGAAGGGAGAAAGAGAGAAAGAGAGAGAGAGAGAGAGAGAGAGAGAGAGAGAGAGAGAGAGAAGTAAAGTAGGAAGTGTATTCGACGGTGAAATTATCGGTCTCGATGCGCTTACGTTCGCGCGATCGGAAACACGCGCGGTATAATTTACGAAATTAATTAAAGGCCACATAGGGTTCTCAGAGCCTTCGGACGCGATTATTTGGCGATACGTACAGGGAGAACGTACAGGGATTCGGAGGCGCTCAGAGAAGAGATACCCTCGCGCCCACCTCTAACAGGCATGTATGTGTGTGTGGATCCCGACGTGAAACCACCGCGATACTCCTCGGCCGGTCCCTCTAACCGTCGGAGGGGCTCGTTGCGTGGGAAACGCGATACCCCGACGAAGGTCTCAGTTAACTGCGTTTTTGCCGTTAATTCTTCTAATTCAGGGTTATGGGAATGATCATGCGGGAGGTGAACGCAGCAGTAGCAGCAGCCGCCGTGGTCGTCGACGTCGTCGCTCGTGACTCATTGACGTTGACGCAACAATTTGTGCATCTGAAAATGCGATGCTGTTCGATGAATATCGGTGAAATAGGCGAGATGTGATACAAAAATAAATAATAAATAATCCGATCGCCTCTCAGTCAGACCCATCGCTCGATGTTGAATCAACACTAAATCAGCAGGACATATTTAAGCTCTATTAACGAAATCCTATATTTTCGATATTTTCATGCTCCGCGCAAATAAAAGGGGGAAAAAAATGCAATTGTGCAAAAAACCTTCCGCGACACGAATAAAAATTTGCGAATATTCGTGCTGTTTCTCATCCGCGATTAGTGACATTGTGACATAGAGAATCCTACGCGACGACAGCGGCGGATTAAAGCATCATGGTTTTTATTTCGTTTGCGCAGTGTTGAAAAATCCTCCGTTTTCAAAACGCTTTTTCATTCGAGGGATTCACGTGTACATCTCACGCATGTAAATAAGCGCGCGCGCGACTTGAGAAGACTTGTAAAACACCAGAAGCCATAAACAGCACCAAACAGCTGAGCATTACGTGCCCGGGTACAGAAAGTGACCTACGAACCAGCAACCTTGCGACTGTAATGTTTCGCAATCTAAACGCCTTTTATCTAATTATTTTCACAACTCTATGTCCTTCCGATTATTTCATATCTCTGAAGAATGATTCGGTTGAATTCTCCCACTCTGGATATCGATTAGCTACATTTATAATAAGAGTATATAGAATTACATTAATTTAATATTAGTGTGCTGATATTATATTAATGTTAAACATGCGTGTTGTAATATAATATAATTCATGAACCTAATAATCTATTTAAATAAAGAGAGATTAACAGAGTGATATATATATATATATATATATATATATATATATATATATATATATATATTCGTATGCGTACAAGTTTATCGTTAGTGATAATTTAGCAAAATCTAATATTCTTTAAACAGGGTCTCGCACAGAACGTAGTTTACGCTGAAGAACATTTCGTAATAGGAAAAGGAGCGTACGAATCCCCTTGAACACGCGGCGCCGGATTCACGGTGTGTCGTGTTTAATCCATGCTATAAATAGCAGGTCCGTACCCGGGCTGATATAATTCTATTCCCAGAACACGAATATTCCTTCGATACATGGTGAATCTATAAGCCGATATTTATACACGTACATTCTCTCCCTCCCGCCAATAAGAGACTGAACTTGCCCGCAAGCTTCTTCGGGCTTTTTTCCGCTCGTTAGAAGAGCTATTAAAGGATTCACTGCAACCAGCAGTCTAACCTACTTTCGTAAAAATACGAGAAAGACTTAGCTGTAAAATTGAGAAAGTAGTATAGTTTTAGACACGGAAAAAACTGGTTTTTTCCAATTTTTCTGCGGATTTTCTCTTTCCCAAGGATAGAAAAATTCATTCGAAAGAATTTCTGCGTGTTTGGTTGGAACTTTATTTGTTTCTTTCCGCGTGAAGAAGTTCATTTAATTTAAAAATTAAACTACAAAAGTTAAAAGATCTTTAAGATCTTAAAGATAACTTTTAAAGATTAAAAGATCATTAAACTTAAGGATTAAACTTAAGGATTAAAGGAAGTTGAAAAACTGAAGAAATATGAACTAAAGTTAAATAAACCTAGTAAGTAATCTGTTCTGTTGACAGTGTTTGCAAACAGAATCTGACAACAGATTGTATATGTATCCTGTATATTTTTATTATTATATTGCAGTATTTTGTATCGATTATGTTGTAATCACTACGTCATTACAGAGGATGTTTTATACCATGAAATTAAATAATAAAAACAGCAATTTTTCTTGAAGAAACTAATTTTTCAGAAATAACTATTTTTTCCTGTTTTTCTTCCAGTAATTTAAAAAACCAACTTTCTTAGAAGGTAGATTTAATGTTTAATAGAATTCAATAAATTTTTCAATTTACAATTTTCAAGTTATTCAATTAGTATAACAGATACAACTCTCACAGTGATAGGTAAATTTTTATTAAAAATTACACAAAGTTAATTTGAAACTATATTAAATAGAATTATTTAATTTAATCAAAAATTTAATATAAAAACGCAATTAATTTACTCACTTTAGCTTCCCCCACGTCGATGAGAATTTTTTCGACGAGAAAGTGCTTAGTTTAGAAAATCTCTCACTTGTCAGTCGCGTTCGAATTAATTAATATATGTTTGTTATTTGATAACGCATAATCTTCACATGAAACTATCGATCGTACGTATTTACAGTTGGACGTGATCGTTTGAAATTTCAGCGGATAAATCCCAAATTAATACCGATCGATCAGCAGCCCACATTATTACGTACACATTTTCAGCATCGTGATTAGCTTATCTGCTATTACGTAACTACGCGTCCTGTACATAATAGTGGAATTTTCCGCGCTTTGGTTATACTAAATATTGAAGCATATGACGCGCGGATTCGTGGCCGCGATTCGGAAGAGAAATACAGCAGTTCTACGTTATCTGTCGTTCGAGTCCGAGAATTTTGTCTAAAAATGTGCGATTACAAGAAGGGAACGGTTGAGAAGGGACACGTTACATGTATTTTATTCGATTTTTTAAAACCTAAATTCGTATCTCGATGCGTCGAGTAATCGATCGTTTGCGAAATGCATTTCCCAACGACGTGATCGACTGCTTTCTTCCCGTCAAAGTTTTCGTTTAAATTTTCGCCTCCTGAAGCGGTACACGGAATTTTGTTCTCGCCCCGCAATTAATTACGGTGCACGCGTGAACAAAACGGAAGTTTCCCGTGTCCTTTGTCCGCCCTTTTCCCAGCCGGATTATTCGGAAAATTTTTATAGACCCGCTGGGTAGCGCAGAAATTATGACGCGAGCAATTCCCAGCAATAGCTCGTTGCTCCGCCGTCTAATTACGACGATGTATGGGACGTTGCCGAGAATTCTGTGACGTTATAGCTATGACGTGAAACAACGTACGGGGTGGTCGCGATATTTCGTTATCCCTGCACAGTTATTACGTTCTTTGTTCTTTGACATTACCTTTAAACGATCGGTAGGTCCGTTTTTGTGTCTAGTCTTTTTCACGACGGAGAATAATTCCATTTCTTTGTATCACATTTTTCCGTGAACACGTAGATTGAAACAATGGGCATTTCGCTAATAAGAGAGAAAGAGGGAGAGAGAGAAAGAGAAAAATAGGAGCATTTTTATTTTAGTTCTAGAACAATACCCATTGAGAACTCTTGTGTTAGTTTATGAAGTTTTTTATAAAGTAAATGATTAATGTTAATGTTGAAAAAGTTATACACAAGAAATAATATTTGATATAACATTTACGATGGTTTTGTAAATGTAAATTGATATATTTAATGCATTTTGAGGTAATTAGTTATCAATATAGATATTTATTAATGGATTGAAATATTTTCTTTTTTTATTTATATATAGCGTATATATAGCGTATCACTTTAAAAAACAAGAGAAAAATGGAAAAAATTCAAATAGAAAAATAGAAAACAGAGAGAGAAAGAGAGAGGGATTAAATTATCGCAGAACAAATGTTCCGTTGTATTTTATCCGAAACGAAGAAATCACTTTTTCATCATCGTCACAAATTTCATTTCGAAGCAATAGCGCGGATACGAAATATCCAGTGGTATTGGCGTGAGACATCTCGACCACCCCGTAGACATTGCAATGCGGGCATACCAAACAGAGATCGCCGATTATTTCAGTAACTCTGCAGATCGACGGTACCGATCAGCTGCATCGGAAGTTCACCAGATTCCTCATATCTGCCGAGGCCGAAAATGCAAACGACACTGCAGACGTCGGGATTTTTGATCTTCAGGATGACACGATGACTAAATTCGCGGATAATTGCGCCAATGCCGTCGTGGAGACGTCCAAGGTGCTGAAGGAGGAGATAACCGTTGTCTGGACCAGTCCTTCCGAAGGTAGCGGTTGTATACTCCTCAGGTGATGGGACACTCTTATTAACAATAACACAACACGCGGAAAGAAGAGAGAGCATCCCGAAAAATATCTTTAGGAATTTTTTTCAAATAATTTTTTTTGTAATAATACATTTTTGAAATGGTCATTTTATAAAAAGACACTAAAAAAGAACTTTTAACGTTGTTGTTTTTTAAAACATCCTATAAGATAAGACCTCTGTCAAAAAACATGATTACACCGCTCAGATGATTGCTTCTGAACGATTAACTTGAAATCAATGAAGTAGAAATACTTCAAATTCCTAAAGATATTTTTTTCGTCTTTACTGTGATGTTTTCTTTTAAGTTATGGTTAAATTCCTCTTGATAAGTTTTCCCTCAAGTTAAAAGTTAAGCTCACCCAACAAGCTATAGATTTGCCGGAATCGATCAGTTCACTTTCCGTTTTCCGTGCGATCACGTTCGTCGTCCATTTCTGATCTCTTCGTTACGTAGAGCAACGGTGATGGAGACACCGGACACGTGGTACATGGACGACTTCGACTTGATCCTCAATATGTGTCAAGACTCAAAAGCAGAAGCCGACGATCAGGGGCCGGTGTTGACGGATTGCTGCACCTGCGATGAAGCAAAGTATGAGGTTACTTTCGAAGGATTATGGTCGCGCAACACACATCCCAAAGTACGTGGACGTGAGCGTCGTGTGGTTTAGCGCATTCATCCATTATCTCCTCTCCGCAGGATTTTCCAAGCAAGAGCTGGCTGATCCGATTTTCGGACGTGATCGGCGCGTCACACACCGGCGATTACAGGTTTTGGCGTTACAACGGCATGGCTAGCATCGGGCTGCGACAGGTGGCCGAGCACGGCGCCACGCGAAAACTGGAAGGCGAGCTGAAGAATCGGGTGAGAGAGACGCGAAATGTCCAAAGCTCTGCGGCTTTTTATCTCTTGGGCTCTACTTGGGGATTCACAGTAGGGGACAGAAATATATATGTATGATCGTTTTTACAGAGCGAGCACATCAGGACTATCATAAAAGCGAGAGGAATTAGTTATCCGAACGTCACCGGCAGAACTTTCGCGGTGTTTCGCGTAGATCGCAAGCACCATTTGATGTCTCTGGTATCCATGATCGGTAGGACTAATTATGAGAGCAGGAATATTATAATGGAAATACAAAAAGAAACTCTGTTTCTTCTCTCTGAAACGAAGGAACTTCTTGATTGATCTCGTTGAACAATTCTTACCGTTTGTTAATAGAGAAATTAAATGGCAGATCGAAATAGAGTCTTTTGTAATCGTAATGAAGGAATAAAAATGCGTTGCGTAGATCCATCACCGGATTGGATAGTTGGCGTCTCCGGTCTCGAGCTCTGTCTGTCTAATTGCTCATGGATTGAACACAAGGAGCTTAATTTGTACCCTTATGATGCTGGTACCGACAATGGCATCACATATTTGGTGAGTGCAAACATTATATTGTGCAAATATTATATTATTACATCAATTATACTCAAACGTAACTGAGAGATGTTAAAAATACACGATTTTTCATAAGATATTTTACACATTTTTAAGCGCAATATATATATATATATTTTTTTTTCGGTGTTCTAAGATACTATATACACTAATCGTAACATTTCAATAACTTGCACAATAATGGAATATTCAAATATCAAGTAAATACTTAGATATCAAGGTAGTAATGGAGTATTCGAGTGTATTCGGATGTTAAAATCGCTAGTTAGCAAGGTTTGTCACTGTTAATTGCTCTTCTGCTGATTGCCAGTCGCCCGATGAGCCGACAGTACCGCAGGAATCAATCCGACGTATAACATCTACTTACCCGAACGACTCCAGGTCACCCTTTTACGATCCGGCAGGGTTGGACATGAAACCCCTCGCGAAGCTTTACTTGAATAGGCAGAGGTTGTACGAGAAGACTTGCGACGACGCTAGCGAGGCACTGGATGAAACAGGTGTATCGGAATCGAATAAGAAAAGTAGCAAGTATCGTCTTGTTTTTTCTTTTCTCTTGCTTTTCGCCGTCGGTCTTTCGAGACAATATTCGCGTGAGATTTGTGACGATTATTGATTGTATAGCGTCGTAGATCGAATATGAATTTCAAGCAAGATCTTAAGGCAGCGTGTGACTTTTTAAGGCTGTAGGAATTTAAAAGCAGCGTAATGTGTGTGTGTGTGTGTGTGTATGTGTGCATCGCAAATAATGGTAATCTTCTCGGCAATGTGAAAAATTCACGTTCGTATTAAGCGGTATTAAGCCGTATTAAACGACGGTAGTTTCTATACGTCTCGTTGATAGCTCGCGGGCGAGCTTCTGCAATATTAAACGGCTAACATGAAAGTAACATCTATCACGAGTGTCTACTTTGCGCACAGATTCGCTCTAATTATCCCTCGAGTCTTCTAGAAAAAAAAGAAAGCTCTTTTAAGCGGGATGTTTGAAAGAAGAAGCACCGCGTTTCGACGCATTTCGCTTGACTGCATATTTCTTTCGTCTTATTTGTGCCCTAGATACTCTCTAGAGATGCGTTGCACGGTAAGTTGCACTTTTATTTTGCATCCCTCGCAGTTGAAAATACCGAAAATTAGACAACAATCCATTCTGTACATCACGTTGCTCCGCGGTGGATTCCCGTGTTGTAAATTTCCGGAATTTCGACCTCGTGATTTTCAACATCAATATGAAACTTAGACTGCAATCGCGACTGCCGTTGCGAAACGCCCGCGTGGATAATTGACGATCCATATGTACAGAGGCATGCAGAGTGACGCCCTGGGGCGAATGGGGTCCGTGTTCGGTTACCTGTGGCAGAGGCAATCAGCTGAGGCAACGTCATTTTCGCGACGAAGCGACAGCGATCGCGAACAAGTGCAGCACACTGCTGACGGATCGGAGTGCTTGCTTTAACTCGCAAAGCCCTTATTGGTAATGAGCGCGAGAGTGCAGTATGGCGTTGCTGATAATTACGACGCCTGCGAGCAAATATTGTTCAACGCGCTTTTCACTCATAAATTCACAAACCGCAAGATTTTTACAGATTACTCCTCTCTTTACTGAATCTCGCGGATATAGTGTCCTTTGAGGCTTTCTCGTGTTTACTCCGTTATTTTGCCGCGTTGTTTGCGAAGATTCTTCTATATCTCGTATTTATTAGAAATCTTTACTTTTGCAATAAATTTTGTTAATTCTTTCTTTGATATGAAAGATCTAGAACGCGCGTGAACGAGAGAATCTATTCACTTGTTATAACTGATATCGCGTCTCCGATTCGTCGTAGCACCAGTTCCGGCCGTTACGACGGTATACTGGACAGCGATATGTGCGAACTGTCCGAATGGGGGTCGTGGAGCTCGTGCTCGTCGACCTGCGGCGAGGGCAGCATGACGCGATCCAGAAATTTCCGGCAGAAGAAGTACCGGAAACAGTGCAAGATGGTGCCGAACGGGCCGAGTCTGCAGCAGTCGATCGACTGCGAGAACGACCCGTGCGAGGGCGAGGATGCGGACGAGGTAAGGGAAGATACGAGTAATGTGGAGAACAACTACGAGGACTATGGCGAGAGGGCGGACGGGACTGGAGAGGTAATCGAGGACTGGCTGGAGGTACGAGGTATATAAGGATTAGGTGGTCGGGAGAGAATTTTCCGACGAGAAGCCGATCTAACGAGAAGTCCGATACGCGATCCTGTGCTCGCACGAATGCGTGGTGGTTGTGAAATTTGCGTGAAAAAATATCTAAAAGATTAAAACGAAATAAAATAAAAACGGATATAAAATACGTGACTCTACAAGCTATGCAGATTTTGCATCAAATTTACAAACGTACACACTGCACGGTGCATGTACGCTTTTAATCATATTTTTTCATACTTTTGATCCCTTTCACCATTTTGCGCAGAACAGTCGAATTCCCGCGGAGCTTTGTGTTCCCGTTGTCATGATAATTGTATTTCCCGCGTGATGTTAATAGAATTTGTTTTGTATATCAATAATTACGTCGAGATATTTTTCACGAAGTGTCGCATTTATGCTCGTTTCCTTATTCGATTCATGCTTGTTTGTGATGTTTTAATTTTGTATCGCGTGAATTTTTTATGTGGAAAAAGTGCCGGGTCGGCGTTAAGTGGGAAGAAGGTGAGCTTCCTCCATTCGCTCGCGATTAATTCGCCGAGATCCTTTAATTTGCAATGTTAAATAACTCTGTAACTATCGATCCATTAAGAGAGAACCGCCACTGGATTCGCACGCGAATCCCCGGCTTTATTTAATTGATGGAGTCGGATACGCATTCTAAGCTTCATTTAATTCAGGGATTGCAGTTCATTTCCTGGGCTTTACTCGGGTGTAAAATATGTTCTGCCAATTTGGCCTTTGACCAGATCGGACTCGTCGAAAAGTTCGCTCGCACACGACTAACCACACACGTATGCTATATAATAGATATCAAGCGGATATCGTTTTTTTATGAAATATACACAACAGGGCGGTTTAATAGCGTACAATAAACAAACGATTTTTTTTACCACAAAACCACGAATGTTATTATTCCACAATAGTTCTATTTTCGTTCTATCCGTAATAACGAATTTATACGCGTTTTCGGCGCGTATATTTATACTTTTTTTTTTTTTATATCATTTGACGTTTCGCTGCAGATCGAAACACCATTTCGAGATGGGGAAATGACGTGGATCCCTTGCGGTAGGAAGAAGCTCAAGGAGCAAGAATTCGCGCGTGCAATCGATGGAACTGCGATCGTGCAAAATTTTTTCCTCTATTTTTTTTATCGACGTACGCCAAGTTTTTCTAAAGCGCGAGATTAAGCTGAACAAAATTCGCGTAATGTCTGAAATGGAAAATAAAAAAGTTTACTAGACGCTGCATTGTAGGAACTAACGCTTGACTAAATCTCTTAAGCTTTTACCATTTTAAAACTATCGGACGCAAGAAGCACAACATCAAGAAAACTCGTCGACTTTCATCACTCTTCTGTTGTTTATAGCTTCTTACGATGGCCACGATGTTATTGTTGTTGTCGCAGACGTTTCTGTCCGCGCACGCGATAGAGAAAAGATACGAGATACGCGTAGATCCGCTCGATATTCATTATTGCTACGAATTCATTATTGCTACGGATCCAACAGCTTTCGCTAAGTATTCAATCACCAGGCAGCGGCGACAGCTTCGCACGAGTAAGCGATATCTTATCTCTCGTAGATCCATCTATGGCACCGGCATCGTCACGTAAGTTGCACGGATATCTGTCTCGCGAACAAGACGCGCCTCATCTTCGTGCGGTTGCGCGAAATAAAGTTCAAGCCTTCTGGCTCTTCGCCTCGACACTCTTGGTTAATGACGCGAGAAAACACACGCTAAAAATTCTTGCAAAATTCGTTGAAATAAGATGTATTCATCAGATGACACTCGCACTCCATCAAACAGACTTCTGTTCGAGTAGTCGAATAGTCGGTAAATAACCGTAAAATTCATGTGACATGCCTTCCCTTTTAGCCTACCTTTTCTCATGATATTATCGACGTATATTATCATGATATTATGACGTTAATTTTAGTTATTTGTTGATTGTTGGAGCAAGAGGAAAGTGTACGGACTATCTTACAAGTCTGTTCGATCGATTGCAAATATCATTTTGTAAATATAATTTTATTTTCACATTATTTTGCAAGAATTTTTAACATATATTTTCACGCTTCTGACGCAATAAATCAAGATGGCTGCAACGAAGAATCAGGAGTTTTAACTTTCGCGTTTCTTTAGAGATGCTTCTCATGCAGAGAGAATCATCAAAGTATGCGAGCGACCGGAACGCTTTGAACATTGAAAATTGGTTGGAAAATGAGGAAACAGGCGCAAAATTAACAATTATTTGCGGTGGAGCTTTCTCGACACCGAAACGCTATCATGCGTGCGTGCATCACGTCATGAAACATATGTAACTGATCGATACGACAGTCTAGTTTAATAATCGCTGCTAATTATCATGCGACAATCAGTGCACTTGTATTAATACTTTACCCGCGTAATTATTTTGTAACGAATGCTACAATCACGCGCCATTAGGTCCCCATAACGGCACCGCACGGCGCAGAATGGCGCGACGAGTGAGTTTCGGACGGTCGACAGAAATTCACACTAACGAATTAATCGAGCGACGCGGGAGCGGATCTCTCCAACATTCCGCTAATATGCGCCTCTGAGATTGCGTTATTTTATTGTCTTTCTTAACGTTCATCCTTTCCGGAGAAAAGCCAGAGGAACGCAAATCCGGCGTTTGTGGTACGATCTCGAAACGAGAAAGAATTCAATGGATCCGTCTGAATCTTCCGCGCATCTAAGAGAGGGAGGTTTCCTCTGAGTTCGTCGCGAATTCCGTAAAATACGGAAAGAAACGAAGGAGAACGCGAGAGATCCGCTTCTCCGTAATTAATCGCCACGCGTCGATCCATCGCACCGATTGATCCTTGATCTACGTTGACTGCAGAAATGTCCCAGCGATCAGTACACGGAGTGGTCTATGTGGTCACCGTGCAGCTCCAGCTGCGGGCCAGGCATTAAGTTGAGGTCCAGGCTAGTAAACAACAACTGGAGCGTCCTGGGAAAAGACGACGAGGACAGCCACGAGGAATGCAAAGTGCAACAGTCGTACTGCACAGCTGAAATTTCAAGCTGCAACATCACGAAGGACGAAGCTGAGAGTGAGTGAAAATGCTGGCTCTTGACTGTCGGTTTCAAACGGTTGCCAAAGAGAAATTTGTGCATGTGTGTGTGTGTTGGATTTCAATATTTCAGAAAAGTTTCCGCGTCGTACATGCAGAATTAAAGTTCCTGAGCTATATTGGATTTTGTCGTCAAAAGCGAAGAAACGAGCTGAAAATTCTTGCGCACTGTTTCCGAATAAAAAGATATCTGTATGAAAGAACACCTCAGGTCGCTCGAGCGCACTTGTAGAATGTTCCGAAAACCATTTTCTCGCCTTGACAGTCAATAAATAGCCATAAAATGAACGCAGCAAGATCTTGAGGAAAAGTAGGTTAAAGAGGGAAGGTTGCATGTCACGTTTATTTCACGGTTATTTACTTACTGTCAAGGGAAAAGGATAGTTCTCGGAACATTCTACATGTATGCTCAAGCGATCAGAAGTGTTCTTTCATAGAAATATCTTTTTATCTGGAAATAGCGAGCAAGAATTACGGACGCGCATTTTCTTGCTCCTGATATCATCAATTTCGCAGCGAGTACCCGGGAGCCTTAAAGCCACCTGACTGAGCTACGCGATTTTCTCGCGAGTGCAGATTGAATCTTTTAGTACGTGTGCGTATTCGAATTACGTGAAAATGTGAAACAATATTCCGTCGCGTTTTCCGGTAAAAGGGACAATTTTTTTCTCCTTTTGGAATATTCGTACGATCGATGGACGTTTCGTTTCTCTGTAGAATAGTTCGCGGTCGAGTCTCCTCGTCAGCGAGGTTTCCAACGAAATTTCGCGTTTCAGCTCCGCACACGTCTCGCTATTGCATTATCTTTGTTACTATAGAGCGGTTTTGCACTGATTATAGGGATTTGCAGTGAGCCCATGAAGAAGGGTCGTTGCTCTTCTAACATATTGCGAGCCTATTTCGACAAACAAACCGGCCGCTGCCGTCTATTCAGTTACACCGGATGCGACGGCAATCGGAATAATTTTCCGACCGAGCAGGACTGCAATAACGTCTGCGGCAACTTTCAAAGTAAGTCGACGCGATATTATATTCCGCGGAATGTCGTATTCACATACGCTTCATAAAGGCACCGCGCATAATTAATGTTATTAATTACGGGACCCATGCGAATGACGCATGGAACTTCCCACCGGCTTTTCCTGCCTTCCTCCTTCTTTCTCTATCTCTTTATCTATCTATTCGTCTATCTGCTCATCGCAAGAACTACAACCACAGCAATCGAAAGATTTATCGCAAGTACACACTCTCGAAATTTCTTCAATTCCACTCAGAAAGTAAAGCCGAGTCACTCGAAGTCGATTTTTCATTTATATTGGGTGAATTTCTATACTCGCCGAATTGTCCAGCGAATTTTTATTTAATTCGAAATTAAAGAATGAACCTGACTCCACTGTTTTGAAATAAATTATCTCTTTAATCGACTGAAACATTAATACGAGCGAATTAATAACCTCTTCAGTGGTTTGGATTAAATATTCATTTCTGCGATTCCTTCGAAATGATACACGGAAAAAAAAGATTTGCTAATATATGGACAACTAAAAATATTAGCTGCAAGAGCAAATTCGCTAATACATATATTAGCAAATTTTTTAGCTATCACAACTAAATAACTTTGCTATGAAAGCAAGAAAATTGCTCCTGCAGCTAATATTTTTAGTTGTCCATGTATTAGTAAATTTTTTTTTTCCGTATCTCTACGATTACTTCGAATGAAGTTTTACTCCGAGAAATGTAAAGAGTAGAACTGATCGCTCGAGTTAATTCGTGCTACGTGCAACCGTAAATTTGCATAATTAGATCCAGGAAAAAGTCGTTCTTAATAAGAAGACCATTAAATAAATGGAAAGAGCAGATTTCTTAGTAGATAAAACATGAAGAATAAGTGTAGATATAATTGCAAATACGTATCTTTATTACATATCGATGAGAATGAGGGCGGCAGAGTTCGCGCTACTCGATCGATTGTGCGCTTCGATAGAATTGCGCGTCCTCAGAATGCGTATGCAGAATCTCCGATGAGGCGTATCTCTCTACAATTGTTATGTTGCTCCACATCGTTCATCCATGCAAAGTCTAGTCGGTGTTCTGTTGCACTTACGTTACGTTATATTGCCTTGCTCCATTGAACCCCATTCCTTCCCCCAGTACTTGTTCATCGACGAAACACGATTCCGGATAATCCACGGCTTTCGCATCGCAAATAAAGTGTTACCCATCACTAAATAATCGCTCATTGTATTACTTTGCACACGCTCACTAACCGATTCAGGAGAATTGCGGGCGAACCTGTCGGCGATCATGAAAAACTTTAAGGTGTCCCTTAGCAGCGTCCTCAGCTACCACATTCCTGTGCAGGAGCAGCAGCAACAGCAACAGCAGCAGCAGCAGCACCGTACGAAGGCGAAGAGAGCGCAATACGGTGATGAATCTGCTTTACGCGAAAGTTATCGTGGATTATGTGCTATTACACGACGGCTTCGCGGAAACGATTTACGCGACTTTAGAGACCGTTAGCGACGAAGCGCGATGTACAGGCGTGCACTAGTAAAAGGGCAATTCCGTCTCGCTGAATATTAAGTCGCGTTTTTTTACAGAAAAGGCAAACTTCGGGAACATCCAGACGAGCAGTCTGATAATGGAATCGAGCGAGGACATTAAAGTGGACTGTCAGGCCACTGGATGGAGTAGATGGACGAGCTGCGACGGCTGTCACGGCTACAAAACCAGCACCAGAAAGATCATGGTACATCGCGTTATAAATTCATTCATTTCTCTCACAGAGAGCGTGGATTCAAGTATAATAATAATAATAATATTAATAATAAAATTATAATTAACTGTGTGCGTGGATTTAAGTATAATAATAATAATGAAATTATAATTATTATAACTCTTTCAACGACGAGCGATATGAATGTTTTCGCTGTTTCGATCACCGCTCAATCGACGAAATTCTGCACATTACGTCGAGTTAATTACGATTAATCAATTGTAAAACGCAGATATTTAATTATCTTCCGAGCAGGTCTCGGCCAAAGGCGGAGGTAAGAGCTGTCCGAAGAAGACTATCCGAAGGAGGAAGTGCAGTAAGGTTCCACCGTGCTGTGAGTATGCGTCTTTCACTTTTACCTTATTACTAAATAATTTAATACAAAATAATAGTTGGTCGCGCAAAATAATGGCTCGCAAATAAACAACTGACAATCAACGCTCAGAATTGCAGCCGATAAAAGAGTGTTCGACGATTAAAAATGAAAAAACTTTGCAGCTGAACAGGGTGACGGGAAAAGTCGACGATCCTTTCGGGACAACTCTGAAGAAAAAGCCAATTACGGAAACAATCATGACACGTTATTCAATAAACACAGTGAGTTTTGCTTCATTAAATAATTGCAAGTAGATTTATGATCGACTCGCAGAATTGTCCAATTGACAGATGTTTGTTTTTTACTAACTGGCGCAAAGGAAATGTGAAAAGAGAGAACCGATGTGGGAGAGAGAGAAATTTAGAGATAAAATCAGTCGCGATTCTGCCCGTCGATAGAATTCCGCGTTCTCAGAATGCGTGTCAAAATGAGGTGCATCTCTTTACATTTGTTATGTTGCTCTACATCGCTCGTTCGTGCAAAGTTTCAGTGAACTGCAAAGTGACGCACTGGTCGACGTGGTCGGGATGCAGCGCGACTTGCGGCGATGACGCGATGCGGAATCGTGTCCGCAGCGTGAAGGTGCAACCGCGGGGACCCCGGCCTCGACTTTGTCCACCTCTGGCGGAATTCAGGAAATGTCCCGTGGTGGAGTGTCCGCAGTAACGAAGTACGCGGTAACTTCGTTATCGGTGCAACGTTTCATCGTTCGCTCTACGACGAATAGTCGACGAAAAATTGCATGCCGCAATCTGTGCACGGCGTGGCGCGTCCGTTCGAATATTGGAATTTATATGACGACTCTCGTTAGACTGATTAGCGAACCATTCTCTCTTTTTATATCTTTTTCTTGAACGTCGGATCTAATCGAAATTTCGTGACGCGTCTGAGAGGTGCAAAGGTGACCGTTGTGAAGCTATCGTGAAACAGAGATAACACTGGACGACAGCAATTTGACGAAATTTGATCCGAAAACTTAACGCTTTTCAGTACTTAAGACTCGATGTAGGATTTTACGATCGGCCTTGTATTGTCAGGACATTATCAGATGCAGAATTTTCGCTGCGAAAACGAATAATTATGATTTTTGATGTTACTTATATGATATAGACGATTAAAGTCACCGTTAATCGCGGTAATTTCCGTGTTTAATAGACTTTTTCTAGGATTTCTGTTATGGTTTTCGCTAGTATGCTTACAAGTTTAAGTTTCATTGGATTAACAGTCGCAGATCGACCAAGTGTTGACTCTAATATAACGCCCGCTATCCCATATGGGATACGTTATAATCTAAATTATTTTGAGCGTGACTCCAAATAGAATTTATGTGTGATCGTCGTATAATATTTATTCTTTCTCAAGAGATCACAGAGAAAAGAGCGAGGGTTTTTCGGACTTAGTTCTATCTATTCTGCATTTACACTCACCTTATGTCCTCCAGTGTGAATTTGTTACGCACAGAAAAGTCGTGCCATCAATAACCACGTTATTTAACGATTCGTCATGTCGATACCGGAATATCTAATGATAGATTTAATACGACGACAGATATAATACACAATCGCTTCATTCAACTCACAGTTAAAGAGTGCGTTAAAATACATACAACGTCATTCACGCGACATGGTGTTAAGACGAAACCAATTTGCATTCCAACGCGCCAGTCGTGCTTAGAAAACGAGAAGATAATTCTTGCGATTAATATCACTTATAATAACGACACTCGTATAGTCTTTTCTTTTTCACGAAAAAAGAAGGCAAAAACTATCGCATTTCATGTTTCTGATTCCGGTTCAAACGGTTAAAATGGAAAAAAATAAGTAAAAAGCGAAATAATCTGCAACATAGTAATGTTACACGTTTATATATAGATTAAAATATAAAGCCGCTCTCTCCTTTGTAGCGCAAGAGTAAGATATGCGCGAATATGAGGAGAATCACTCGTGTAACGATAACGTTTGTTTGTACGTGCGCGTATCATATTCATAGCATTTATCATGCATTACAGATCTCAATGTAAGACCAAAACTCGTAATAACATCAGTTTGGAAACTAAGAACCACACGGTACTTTAAAAACCATGACTGTAAAATGCGACGTAGACATATCAGTAGATAGTAAGTCGTTCGTTTAGTGCATAATGAGAAGTTTCTTTAACACACAATTCTCTTTACTCTTCATTGACAATAAACGAAATCGTGTAGATGTATGGTACAAAGAAAGAAACAATTTAAACGTCATTCTTTTGTAAAAGCATTATGATATAATCATAATAAAGATAATCGCTATAATTAAGTACATTATGCGCTGTTCTTATTTATCTCGAATATGCATATATATATATATATATATATATATATATATATATATATATATATATATATATATATATATATATATATATA